ATGATACGAATTACAATTGTTCTTCAGAGAAAGTGTAGTAAAAACAGCGTTTCTCTCTAATGTAATTTCAAGGATTTCAACAAGTTTTTTTTCGCGAGAGTACAGTCTCAGCAAAAGATTCGCTGCTTAAGATAAATATTTCAAAATCAACTGTACTGCATATTGCGATAGTTTCTTTCATCACATCTGCAGCGAATAGTTGCTTAAATATATATATGCAGTCTATTTTACCAAATATGTAGACCTAAGGGATTTCCAAAGAAATAAAAATATATACCAATGTAAGTAACTACTTCACGGATAATAAGTGTAGCAGTGAAAATTAATGGCGTAGTTTTATCCATTTTAACTGCCCGTTTAGAGACGTAAACCTTCTCGTAAAGGATATGCGGCTAGAATGTTCTTTTATTACCGTGTTCCGCAGTTACTAAAAGCTCTATCCAAATTAACTTTATTTCCACTCCATAGAGAACGCTTTAGCATTCTTACTACTGCGTTTATTGTGTAAATAGCCGTATGCTTAATTAAAGAATAGTTTCTTGTGTAAAAATGTCGACGATGGACATGTCCAGAAGTCTAGTAATTCTAATTATAATAATCATCGTCTGAACCCTTTAGACTTGATTAATACTTTTCTTTGCACCTCAAAGAAGAGGACCAGATAAAAGTTCAGTCGAGTCCTTGTGCTTTTCCGGAAATTTTTTAATGAGCTGTATGTTTGTCTCCTGTTTAAAATTAAAACAGAGATGGATCATTATACACAGGGAAAAAAACACTATCATGAAATCAGTTTCATTAAACATAACAGCATCACTTCGTCTAAAAATGCCGTTGTTTTAAATTGGAACTCACACAGAATCCCAAGAAGTTATTGACTATGTTGTTCTTGTGACGCAGTGCAGACTTGTATACTCGAGAAATTATTCTTTAATTAAGCATTCTCGTACATAGATTCAAACGTTTCGGAGAAACATACTGTTATTATCTTCACCATCGTTAGTCAGCTCCGGTCAGCTAGCTAGCCAGACGTTGTTAGCCAGCTGGATGAAGATTGTGCTAGCGGTGAGCGCCTCACTGACTGGAGTTGGCTAACGATGCATTTCATCTGATTGGTTCTGTTGTGTCCTAGTGGAACGGCGGAAGTAAGACAGAAGACCTTTCATTTTCCGTTTTTCAGTTTGTTAGCCGGACTAAACGAGCTGAGACGCTTAATATGAACGCTGCGCCCGTGGCAGACCCTGTGGACATATACCACACACGGCCACACAAACACAGGCCTACAACAAAATGCCAAGATTAAAAACAAACAAGACTTCCGTAACCGATTGTGGGAGAAAAAAATATCGATGTTTGTCTCTGGGTTGCCATGCCGTCTGGACTTATAAGTAAACAAACGGGGCTACCTATGTATCGGATGAATATATTACTCCCATCTACAAGGCCGAAGGCCACGCCTAAGAGGGAAGAATTGTGTTACTCTGGAACGTTGATATCTACCTGTAAGACCACAGGACGTCAACCAACATCGAGGTCTTCACTACCGTGATTACTTCAGATTCCACTAAAAAATTGATGTTTGCAAATGTTATTTTATAGGATTTGCTTATAAATACGAAACTTAAATATCGCAATATCAGTAAATGTACTAATAAAAATGAAATAAAATCGCAAGCAACTTATCCTCCTCCATCCGTCCCGCAATCATTCTAAACTACTTTCTTCACCCTGGGCAACTAAATGATTTGGACTGGTATCGCCCAGCATCCTGATTTAATGTTGTAAAACTGTTTACATTGTTCTGATTACATCTGCAAATCCCCTCTTCTCCCTCCCCTGAATATCCAGTTTAAGCTGCAAGTACGTACATTTTATTAACTCTTTAAAGCTGAAACTCGTCTACATAATATTAAGTATTCAGTCCGTACCGCGAAGAAAACACAATATTTCACCATCACAAAGACATGTTTTATTGCTGTTTAAGAAAATAATCCCTTCTCATACTGAGAATCATACAAAATTAGAATTGTTGAAGCAACTGGTACATATAGTTACAATTCGACTTTATAGGGTTAATAGTTGATGTTCAACAACAAAACTTCATGATCACTACATAAATCGCTGTTAATATAACATATTGAATCTATTACTTCAATCACGTATATTACTGTTACAAAACAAAAATCTTAAAACCTTCAACTTGCTTCTTCCTCAGTGTTCAGAAGTATCAGTGTGTGCGTACATAGATGTTTATGTAGACCACACCTATTACATATATGCCTGTGGTAGTGTTGATCCAAGAAAGTGTAACGTTTTCTAAACAAGAGGTGGAATTTGATAACAGTGTTATTAATAGAAATTGTCAGGACTCAGAAAGAAATGTTTGCATTAATACATTCAAACTGTCTCAAAGAAAACACACTGAAATAAAAAAGGAAAAAAATGTTGTTACAATTGAAAACGTTTAATAACTAAAACAGTAATAATGTCTCGTTTTACAGATCGTATAGTCACAAGTATGTTTGCATTTACTATAAAGTTAAATGTTACTGTGGCCCTTAAATTCTGTTGGCAAACATTGAACGTCTATAATTGATTTAGATGCATCTGACGGCCAACCGGCCAACAGCATGAACCTCAGTGAAACATAAGAACCTTTCCCTAGTAAGTGTTAAATGTTAACATACTGTGCTTTGTTCTATTTATATTAAAACTACCGGTATTGATTGTGCTCGGCGCGCCAGTATCTCATTTAGCACGACAATCTGTGTATCTGCAGTGTGTGGCTTTCCATGCAACTGCTTGACACGTATTGCATGCAAAGCAGTTCCTAAAACTGACCAGCGTATAGCTGATTTTCGTTCTTTCTGTAAATTTAATAATCATGGTCACAGCATATTACTAAGAGAATTATAAAGACAATTTTACAGTTGAAAATAACTGGTTCGATAACCGGTGACATGTTTTATTGCTGTTTAAGAAAATAATCCCTTCTCATACTGAGAATCATACAAAATTAGAATTGTTGAAGCAACTGGTACATATAGTTACAATTCGACTTTATAGGGTTAATAGTTGATGTTCAACAACAAAACTTCATGATCACTACATAAATCGCTGTTAATATAACATATTGAATCTATTACTTCAATCACGTATATTACTGTTACAAAACAAAAATCTTAAAACCTTCAACTTGCTTCTTCCTCAGTGTTCAGAAGTATCAGTGTGTGCGTACATAGATGTTTATGTAGACCACACCTATTACATATATGCCTGTGGTAGTGTTGATCCAAGAAAGTGTAACGTTTTCTAAACAAGAGGTGGAATTTGATAACAGTGTTATTAATAGAAATTGTCAGGACTCAGAAAGAAATGTTTGCATTAATACATTCAAACTGTCTCAAAGAAAACACACTGAAATAAAAAAGGAAAAAAATGTTGTTACAATTGAAAACGTTTAATAACTAAAACAGTAATAATGTCTCGTTTTACAGATCGTATAGTCACAAGTATGTTTGCATTTACTATAAAGTTAAATGTTACTGTGGCCCTTAAATTCTGTTGGCAAACATTGAACGTCTATAATTGATTTAGATGCATCTGACGGCCAACCGGCCAACAGCATGAACCTCAGTGAAACATAAGAACCTTTCCCTAGTAAGTGTTAAATGTTAACATACTGTGCTTTGTTCTATTTATATTAAAACTACCGGTATTGATTGTGCTCGGCGCGCCAGTATCTCATTTAGCACGACAATCTGTGTATCTGCAGTGTGTGGCTTTCCATGCAACTGCTTGACACGTATTGCATGCAAAGCAGTTCCTAAAACTGACCAGCGTATAGCTGATTTTCGTTCTTTCTGTAAATTTAATAATCATGGTCACAGCATATTACTAAGAGAATTATAAAGACAATTTTACAGTTGAAAATAACTGGTTCGATAACCGGTGTTTCTATCTTATTACATTTGTATAAAGAGTAATGCATTGCATTTGTACAAAGATATGTATAAATTCAGTAATATTAAATTTTCCTCAACGTCCTCATGTTTTGAAGACACGAGCTGACCGCAAACCAGTAGGCTGATAACACGCGTGTACGAACGTCTCGGCGGATTAGTTAACATTCCTACTTCGTTTTTAGAAGGTCCTGGATCAAAATCGCGGCCTGGAGACTATACCGAATGAAGTTTTCGTGGTTTTCCTCATTCTTTCCAGAACCATGAGCCGGGATAGCTCAGTCAGTATAGTGACTAGCTACGGGCTGGACGACCAGGGTTCGATCCCCGACGGGGGCAGAGGATTTTTTTCTCTAGCCTCTGCGTCCAGACCGGCTCTGGGGCCCACCCAGCCTCCTCTACAATGGGTACCAGGGTCCTTTCCCGGGGTAAAGCCGGCCGGGGCGTGATGCTGACCACTCACCCCTATCTGGTGCCGAGGTCAAGGAAGAGAGGAGCTATACCTCCACTCACCCCAAACGCCTACATGGCGTATAATGGGACAAACTTTACTTTACTTTACTTTACTTTTACTGTAACAGAACCTTTAATTAAGTCACGACCATTTCCTTCCATATCCTTTCCAGTTCATAAATGCAAATCATTTGACTTGAGTTCTCTATGCAGAATACTGGTTCGTCTAACACCGGGTTTTTCCGGACCAAATCCAAATATATCTCAAAACCGCTATTCTCTTGCTGCCCTAGACTTTCCTGATATAACTTGTACCTTACTGTTTTTACTCAGTCATTACATCTAACTTTGTACAAGTGTCCGCCTATGTTCCTTAAATTAACAGTACTAGTATAATAATTTTTCATTTCACTAATCGGAGTCGTTTCTCACCCAGAACTTTCTGATTCATTAATTATTAATCATCCGACGCTATTTAGTCTGATCTACTGACAATGTCGTTAAATAAACTACAAATAAATAAATAAGTAATCATGCATGCACTTAACTACTTACTAATTTTAATGGCTAATATATGCTACTATTTACCGTGTGTTAGGATATTGATGGTTTCATTGTGAAGATAAAAGAGGCTGTTGATGCTTCCCCAGAAAGTCAGTAGAGGCCGGTATCCAGTAAAGATGTACGGATTGAACTGTAGGTGAGGAGGCATGTCACGGAAATGCAGAAGATTTCTCTTTTTCTTCGGACTTTCGTTATCGTTTGAACGTCTGTTGGCGGCTTCTTCATAATCCTTATATATTTGGTCCTCGTCATTTACATGTTCGTAGGCAAAAGCTCCTTTATGCGACACCCGGATGCCGGTACCGTCCGGCAGTAGAGATTTATGATGATGCTTAGCAACAAATGAACTATTTGACATTTCGACAAATTTAACTGATTTACGTCTGTATAAAGACTGGCTTATGATTTGGCAGGTAATATGTGGGTTGCTTATTCGCGTGGTTTAGTGTCACCTAATACAATTTCTACGAGACATCGCGCCGCCTGGGTTTGCTTTCTACTAAGATGGGACGCCGGAAGTACCGACGAGGAACCACACACGTCCCTCCTAAACACAGGACTCACGACCACAAATGGAGGCCATACTGCTACAGTACCCACAATTCCTCTCAACAACGCAGCGTTCGCCTTTTATAGTGGTAAAAAATCGTTGCTGTGGAAACCAGTATTGATTCTACCACCGTCGCAGGAATTTTATGGCTTGATGGAGGGTAGAAAATATGTATATTTTGATATAACAAACGAAATTTAAGATTATTTTCATTTGTGTACCACAAGATAAGATATGTATTCATATTTTAATGATGTTAATGGTCCTTTCATTGAGAGCCATTGAGATCAGCGCAAGCGCATCTGATCTGTGCGCATTCAGCCTTACCATATTAGTTCGTCTAAAATGGACACCCATGAACATGTTGGAAGGGAGGTAAAATAGTGTAACTTTACATTGTTTGTTTGACCACGTGATCTACTTGTCGAAGGAGAGAAGAAATTGTGCCCTGAAACATATAAAAACGAGTGAAGGAATCCAGCATATTTATTTCAGAGTTAATTTGCATCTTCTTTCAAATCTCGGGTGTTCAATTGATCCCTTTTAATGTGGCTATTTCTGGGGCAAAACAACCCGCAATTTGGCCATTTGGCAAGTTGTGCATCGTAGTATTTCTCTGTTTATACATAATACATAATTAAAATGTTTTTCGTGTTTGGAGAGTTGATAAATGGTGAAAATAGGGATCATGTTTAATCGTGCTCTTCATGTTCTTGTTTTGAAGTGGGGCCGGGGAACACGACCTGTCAGCGGGAGCGAGCTACCTTGGCGGACGCAATATCCTCTTCCGCCCCCAACGCACTTCTCCGAAAATTATTGTGTTCCATCTTCAAGGAAACGGGTATGTGTGATTCATACTAAGTATATGCAGAAATATGACAGAGGAAACAGCTTTGTTGATGAAACTTCACGAATTAGCTTTCAATATTTATGACTTTGTTTGTTCGCAACTTTGCTAATTTGCTGCAACGGCATACAATAGTAAAGATTTTAGAGCAGTAATTAATTGGCCGTATATGGACAGAGGAATAAACCGTGAACATTTTTACATTTCACTTGACCGTTATTTGAGAAGAATGTGACCCA